CTGGGACCTGAGGAACAGAGAAGGACTAGTGTTATCCAAATAGGAGCCCGGGCTACCCTGTGGGAGCTAGAACCTTGGAGAAGGAAACACCCAAACATGCTGGAAGCACAGCACAGTTGCCTGGTAGGAACTGGACCACAAAGGTGAGGCTTCCAGGTAGGAGATGGAACCACAGAAGAGACACAGCCCCTGCTTGGCATGCTCCCAAGGCATAGAGGAGAGAAACACCTTGGATTCTCCCCTTCCCAAACTTCCACTTCCTGCCAGTAACTCTCATTGGCTGAACCCAACCAGAAGGTAGTGAGAAAGGGAGCCTGAGAATGCAGAGTAGGTCCTTGAGATTCAAAGCAGGGGAGGGCAGAAAGTGGATCTAAGAGAAAACTGGCAAATAACCTGAATACAAATTGGAAAAGGAAATACAAATAACCAATAAACATAAGAAAATACGTTCAACTGCATTAGTAATCAGAAAAATGCAACCTTAAACTACAATGAGATGCCATTTTGCTCCCCACCAAAAATGTTAAGATGCCAAGTATTGAGGATGTTCAGCAGCGGGAATGTTTGTACATACCGCTGGGAGTGCAAACCAGAAAGCACATTGGCGTTGTCTAATAATGTTGATGATGAACATACCCTATGCTCTAGGAATTCCACTTCTAAGAACACACTCTCAGGAAAATCTAGCCATGTGCACCAGGAGACATGTACAACAATGTTCACAGAAGTATTGCTAACTACAGCAAATTAGCCAGCTGGAAACTACTCAAATGTCTACCAGCAAGAGAATGGATAAAGTATGCTTTATTCTTACAATGGAACATTGCATAAAAATGAACAAACTATAGCTACACACACCAACACAGATAAATGACACAGGCATGATTTTGAGCAAAAAAGATAAGTGCCCAAAAAAACTTGAAATGATTCTACTTACATAAAATTCAAAGACTTGCAAAGTTATATAGACTATTTAAGGAATGAATCATATATGGGGAAACTATAAAGAAAGGAATAATAACTCTGAGGAGGGGTTACCTCTGTGTGAGAGTAAGGTGGACATGATCAGGAGGAGACCCACAGCCTAGCTACTCTTTTTGAGGTATGACACATTTTATAATTTAAAATTTCACTTTAGAGATCTAAAAGCTCATGTTCCCTCTTCCTAATTGTGATGGGGAATAAAATAATACTAACACTCTCACACATTCATGCAAGTTCTATAGTTAGATTTCCACTTTGGTATTCTCACTTATCTATTAACCTTGGCCTAGTTATATCAATCTTGTCTATGTTGTCTCAGTTTCCACATCTGTAAAAAAAGGATAATAATATTTCATTCATAGGCTAATTATCAGATGCAAGAGCACACAGGAAATGCTCAGCACATAGCCTGGCACCTGGCAGGTGGCAGACGACTGTTATTTTGCTCACATCATGGCCTCAGCCATGTGGTGTCCTCCCCACCACCTCTATCTACTGACTGTTACTCATCCAAGGACATTCAATCTAGTGCTTGAAGACCCTCCCACCCATCCACCCCAGCTGATTTCTCCCTTTTTTTAAATGTGTAGATCTCCTGTTGTCTGCACCAGGCATTTACCATGTATTTATTCATTCATCCTTTATGAGGCACTTACTGTGTATTTATTCATTCATTCATCCAGCAAATCATGGTCCAGGTACTGGAAACACAGAAGTGCCTAAACAGACACCGCCTTCATGGGTCCTGCAGCCTGGAAAGGGAGCTAGACATTCCGCAAGTGAGCAAGTGAATAATTGTTCAATCCAGCTATGATAAGTGCTATCAAAACAAAGTGTGGGATGCATTGAGAACCTATCACAGAGGAAGTTGACCTAGACTGCAGTCAGGAAAGATTTCTTTGAGGAAGTGACATTCAGGGTGAGACTTGAAGGATACACTGCTTTCTATTATCGCCATAGGCAATAAATACTTATTTAAGACATATAACCTAGGTGGAGTATCAGTGCACATGTAACTACAGAAAAAGTACAGTAGTCCCCCCTTATCCACGGGGAATATGTTCTAAGACCACCAACGGATGCCTGAAACCAAGGATGGGACCAACTCCTATAAATACTATGTTTTTCCTATACATAACCATGATAAAGCTTAATTTATATATTAGGTATGATTAAGAGATTAACAACAGTAACTAGTAATAAAAAATGAACAATTATAACATATACTGCAATAAAAGTTATGTGAATGTGGTCTCTCTTCTTTCTCTCTCTTTCAAGATATTGTACTATACTCATCCTCCTAGTAATAATGGGAGATTATAAGATGCCTACATGATGAGATGAAATGAAACTATGTAGTGACATAGTTTTAGGCTACTATTCACCTTCTGATCAGACATCAGAAGAAGGAACATCTGCACTGTGGTTGACTGAGGGTAACTGAAACCACAGAAAACAAAACCGCAGATAAGGGGCAACTACTCAAGCAGCAGGAAGCATACGTGTTAAATGCCAAGTGAACACAATGCAACAATATCCAGATGTTTGGAATCCCCAAGGGTTAAGGTTCTTCTTAGAGACGTTTTATATAAAATGTGAAATTTGAGCAGAGCCTTAACTGGAAGGGTAGGACTAAGACAAGAGAGAGCGAAAAGAGGCATTCTAGATTGGAGAAAATATGGCTATATGGGCAGAGATAGGAAAGGGCAAAACAGATCAGACAGGTTGCTTGAACCAAGGAGTGACACAGGAAGATAATTAAAAGTTCAGATCGTAGAGGAGCTTGCTTTATCCTACATAAGATTTCTTTTTGTATTATGGGCTTCTTTGAGACTCTCATGAAAGCCCTGGACCTCTTTTCTTTCTCAAAAAAAATTTTTAAGTGTATTCATAAAGCTGTATATAATTTCAGGGGTTCACAAGCTTCCTGAACTCCCTGTTAGCACTGAAAGGATGTGAGTAGAAGAAAGGTGACATATTCCAAACAAAGATTCCTTTTCCTGAGAAGGAAATTGCTGGCAGGAAGGTCAATTGAGAAATTACTGCAACATAATGCAAACAGGAGCTTTTGTGGCCCTAAGCTAAGGTCGTGGCTCTAGGAATTTATTAATTAAGTAAACTCATATTTATTGAGAGCTTACTCTGGGTCAGGTCTGGTGCTCAGTGTAGGACGGTAATAATGAGAAGGTAAGACCCCTGCCCTCAACTAGCTCCAAGCTGGGCAGGATCAGAAAGGCAAGCAGCCACAAATGCAAAGGGAATCAGAGCAGTAGCAGATTGTCTTACTCAGAACTTTCTAGAGACCAGTTCTAGAGAATCAAATCAACGTCTTTGACATCATATTCAAGGCACTTCACAACACAGCCACAACGCACCTCTCTGTTGTCATCTTCACTAAGTCCTCCACCACAACTACCTTCAACACACACACATGCACACACAGGCACACACATGCACCCTGCAGGATGGCCATACTGGACTGACCTCTTCTGACAGAGCTTTGCATTTTCCTGCCATTCTGTCACTATTTTTCTCCAAGCAGCTGTGCATGGTCAAATTCCTACCCACTACCCAAGGCCCAGTTTAGGTGTTGTCTTCCTTGAAGCTTTGTCTAGTCTCCCCATTCATTCTGCCCTGAGTTAAGCTGTGTGTGCCTCAGTCTCCCCCAGTACTCAGTAAACTTGAGCAGGCAGGGCTGTTGTCTTTTTATCTTATCCTGGGAGGTGCCCAACCTCATAATGGCAAGTGCTTAACATATCTACTGAACTAAAAGGCCCAGGTAGGGAGAGAACAGACCCAAGGTAGATTTGGGAGCGATCAGTGAAGACTTGGCAGTTGGAATCAAGAAAGGCAACCTAGGGGCGCCTGGGTGGCTCAGTCGTTAAGCATCTGCCTTCAGCTCAGGTCATGATCCCAGGGTCCTGGGATTGAGGCCTGCAACGGGCTCCCTGCTCAGCAGGGAGCCTGCTTCTCCCTCTCCCACTCCCCCTGCTTGTGTTCCCTCTCTCGCTATGTCTCTCTGTCAAATAAATAAAATCTTAAAAAAAAAAAAAAAGGAAAGGCAACCTAGATGTTCCTCTCCTCATGGAAGAATTCACTCTTGGGAGACAGCAATGCAGGTGATTCTGGGTACACACCATGTGCTTTTATGAGGTTTGAAATTACAGGACATTCACACCCAGGCAACTTAGGTCAGCCTATTTATAATGACTACAGATCCCACAGGGAGAGGATAAATATTACTCTCACATTGCTGGTTTGGGATACAGACTTCCACATTTCTACTGGATTATTATTATTATTATTATTATTTAATTATTAAGAAAAGAGCTTACGTGCAAAGGTCTGATGGTTATAAGGCCTAAATCGTTGGAAGTATTGATTGTAGGGTCACTCAAATAGCTCTTGCTTTTAATTCTTTAACAATTGTGGGTGAAACTGCAGCGTGCCTTTGTTTGCACTATCCAAATACACAAAACGCAACCAAGGCCACCTGAATTCTTTGGCTTGACCGCAGCAGCAACCCTACGGGTGCAGACTTCCGCCTTTGGGTCCGAGAGGATGTGGGTGCCTTTCCAGCCCAGCCGGGCCATGAAGTCCTCCCACATTGAGGTGCGCTACACAGAGAACAAGGTCCTAAACAGACCCAACCCACCCACCAGGGTGTTGCCAAGTCCCAGCAAGAGCCGCGTCTCCTCAACTTTACTGAAGAAAAGGCGGGAGCCAGGACCCCCAAGCCTGGTAGTGTGCGCGACACTGCTCTCTCGCTCCACGCGCACTTCCCGCCTCCCGGAGGGTCAGTCCTTTAGAAGGTGAGCCTAACTCTCAGCTCGCGGTCTTCCCGCCACCAATTCCACGCCCTTGCTCCGCCCCGCCTCGCCTGATTGGCCGAGGGCGGAGGGGGCGTGGCCGGACCCCCGGGGAGGCTGGCGGCAAAAGCGCAGGCTGGGCGCCTCAGGACGGGTGGGTGCCGCGTGCGCCTGAGGACCCAGTTGGACTGCTTGGGCCGGCTCAGGATGAGGACTCGCTGGGCGACCCTTCGCCGCGCGGCGGAGCTCCTCGTGCTACTCCTCAGGTGCTTCGGTCTGGCGGAGCCCTCTGGCCGCACAGGTAACCGCTGGCGCGCCAGCCCGCCAGCTGCTAGGGCCCTCGACGTTAGGTCTGCCGACTTTCCTCGGTTCGGGTTAGGGCTGTGCTCCGGGTCTCGTCAACTCTGCTTGCCTCGGGGGTCTGGAACCCAAGAAGTGAGCCAGCCGAAGGGGAGTTCTGAGTAGAAGGCACTCCATGGCCTTCGGGCGCGGGGTGGAGGGCGGGGTGGGGCAGGAGGAGCAGGGCCTTTCTCTTGCTAAAAAAGAGGCCACCTTAGAGAAGAGGCACAGTCTTCTGCGCCGGTCCCTTTCTTCCCCCCCCCCCGCCCCCCCGCCGTCCTCTCGCTTCTAATATCTTGCTTCCCTGGAGTAAAAGGCTCCTCAGCACTCCCCAAACTCCATCCAGCCCATCTCGCCCCTCCTTCGCCTCTTGATCACCTTGGCCACTCAGTGTCTAGAGGAACTGTCTACCCACAGCGCCAAGGATGATTAATGATTGCCCGACTTCGCTTGCACGATAGCCAAAGGTGCAAGTCAAAAAGGCAGTCCGGTTAAGCTATGTCTCCTAAAGTGACCATGTTCGTAATTGCGTTTTGATGCCCTCCCCGAAAGCCTTGAGCAGCGACACTTTCTTCTAATGAATGGACTTACCAGCTCCAAAACACTCCCTCGAGGCTGAGGGCCGCACGTTGGAGCTCTGGTCGCTTGCCCAGGGACCTCCTTGCTGCCTCTAACTGCGGAAGCAGGACCAGGAATAGACTCCCTTCGATGGTGATGCTCTGGGTAGTGCCAGCCTCACCATACCCCCTGGCAGCAGCCGGAGTTTGCTTTTACTTTCTTTTTGCCTTGGCAAAAGGTTCCCTGAGGACTTTCTTAGTTGTGCTGCATAGTGGGCAGTCAGTGAGCCATCACCACCTACCACTTCTGTTAACTTGCCTGTATGAGGAAGTAAAAGATGGGCAAGGAAGTTTTTTGAAAACTGTAGGTTCCGCCTTGTGGCTCTTCTTTTCTTGTGGCCCCTAAACTAAGTTACTGCCAGATTTAGACTTTTTTCAGAGAGTGATGGGAAGAAGCTTCCCAGAGTGTGAATAACATCACCCTATCTACATCAAGGACCTTTTAGTGAATACTGATCTGATTCACCCTTCTCCATTCTTCTTTGACCCTCCCTCGTGGAAACTCCCAAAAGTCCTTTACTGGCTGTGAGAATTCTATTCCACCTGCCCCACGATCCAGGGAGAGAAATTTCATTGCCATAACTAACTACAGTCAAAACACACTAACCTTTCAATCACTGAACTCTTGTTTTCCATCTACTTCTGCTTTAGTCTTACTGTTTTGTCTCCCCCACGGAATTCCAGATTTCCTTAATTTTTGCATTCTCTACAATCCCTGGCCTTTCTCATCAACCAAGCCAAAGAACACCAGCTTAACTCCATTTTCCCTGCACTAGGTCCTCATAGGTATTTGTTTTCCTGCATCCTTCCTCATCCTTAGCAGCTGTTCTGGCCAGTTTACACACACCCTCAGACCAGACTTGTGGTCCCATAAAGGGAAGCCCTGGAATTTTGAAACCCCAGCCATTTGAGTAACATGTTTGGCAGTGTGTCAGCTTCACAATGCTGGTAATGGCATGCACTCTGTCACATGTATGCAGCTAGGTTTGTGCAGATGGTCTGGGTTGCTCAGGTGCTGAAGGAGGTCCTCTGTGTCCTTGGGGAAATGCCAATTGCTTATTTACTTTTTTTGCCTCCTTGGAGAGCTAACAGCTTGAAGTAAATCAATCCTTCTGAGACTCCTGAGGTTCTCACCAGCCCATACCACCCAATCTGAACCCGAAAGCTTTCTGACTCCTAGCAGACTGTCATGGACCCAAGGTCACTTCAGGACCTATTTTTGAACTGGCAAACCCAGACTTCTGATTCTTTCCTACTCCACCTGTACACTCTGCACACGTGGTGGTGACTACAAAATGCTTAACATTGTGAGCTGTAGAAGTTCCCCTGAAACTAAAAATGCTGCAGTCTTCATCCTTCTGCCTCTATCTCCCCCTCCATTTGTCTGTGATCATAAAATGTTGATGTCCAGCTTCTCTTTGGAATGTGCAAAACTCTGTGGTTTAGGTAAGACAAAGGTTACCTAATGATTAGGCAACAGGAGATGGTTTTCCTTTGATGAATGTGGCATGCTAAAAATTCATTTTCAATATATGATAATGCTACTTAGTTATTTCCTCTCAGGCACCACTAGAATGTTTATATAAAATGAAGCATATAAAAATTGCTACTAGGGATGATGAGGCTTCTTTTCATCAACCTCTGCCTTTTAGATTTGCCCAAATATTGTGTGTGGAAGTAAACATTAAAATTCCATTTAGGACCATTGTAAGGTAACATGAGCAAGATACAGCATAAGGTTGTCAATAAAAAATCTGTTTTATAAGTTGCTCTGTAATTACCTTTTCAAATTGTAATACATTTCTGAAATATTTTATATACCCTTATTTAACAAATTTTCCTTAAAAAAGAATTATTTTCAGTCCTTCCCACTCTTCAGTCTGCCATCCCAATAGGGTCACAAGACTGAGGCAGACTGAACAGCTTCTGCTAAGGATACGGAAAATATGGGGAAACATCATGAGAAGACAAGACGCTCCCTACCTTATACGTTATGTATGAATGCTTACACATACATTATGTATGAAGGCTAATGGCAAGTTTCCTTAAATCATATCAGTAATTAATGTTTGTGCTAAGTGACCACTATAGATGTCAAACATTGATTATACATATTTGGTTAAAAGACAGATTTAGAAGAAGGCAAGTATTTATGACCATAGATGTTGCAATTAGGTAAGTTTGGCAACTCTTCTTTAACATACCTTCTCCATGCTACTCCACATCTCTCCTGTAGTCTTTCAGAGTTTCTACAAGCTTGTTAAGTCTATGGGTGTCCTAGAAGTAACACATAGAGTAAATGGGAAAGGGCAATTTTTTTTCTCTTCCAAAGAGTATTTATAAAGCATCACTGTTACCTAAGTGCCCATGCCTGATACTAATAGGGTTAGAATGACCTAAAATGCTACTAGCAGTAGCAGGGCATAATAGAGTTGTGGACATCTGTTCAAGAATAATATACAATGAACTTAGCAAAGACTGGTAAAACCTACAAGGGTAGGAAAACTGTTATCTTGTGGAAGCATAGGATGTTAGTACTGAAAGTGGCTTAGATATCTTATATTGTCTCTGCTTTCATCTTACATTTGGAGATACAAAGACCCTGGAGAGATTAAGCGACTTCCCCAAGGTCTCCCAGCTAACTGGTAGCTGAGGTAGGTCTTCAATCTAGGACCTCTAACTCCTTATCCCACTGCTTGTTCCACTATACTAACAGCTGTGGTAATCTATTGGATTCTGCAAAGACAACTTGAGAAGTCTAGAACTCCAAACTGCAAATGTAACAAAGCCACTGCTAGCCCAGTTCACCTGTCTGGGTTGGGGCACAGAGCAAAGTGTCCAGGAAAGAGAGCAATGGGACCACAGGGCAAGGGAGGGGAGGGTTCCAGCAAGGGTGGTGGATGCCTATTCTCCTGCAGAAGCAGACTTCTTTTTTTTCTGCAGTAATTGGTGATACTTTGGAGTGCAAGATTTTTTTGGAGAAGTGAGAGAGAATAGTTTGGGAAAGAGAGAATAGTTTGAAAGACCCTCATGGGTCTGAGTGGATATTGAATATGTAGGAGGACATTGGAGAAACTGTGAGTGATCATCTAAGATAGTCTGTTTTCCTTTTTATGTTAACTGTCCTCCCAAATGGTGTCCATAAAGTAGAGAATGGCAGAGAGATGTCAAAGCAGGAAGAGTGAGGGATGGAAGCTGCTATGACAAAGACACCTAACTGCAGTCCTGTGTCATATTTTAAAATACAGATTTGAAAGCAAAAGTAGCTTAATGTTTTACAGGATTTTGTGGTGGTTCCTATTGTTTCTCTTCTTGCTACTGCTGCTGCTTAAAACAAAAAATTCTCTTTAAAGTTCAAGCTGAAACGTGACTTGATTTTATAGTTATTATTTACATGATGAAATTTCCCCTCAAGTCCTTGATATGAGAATTTTTAACTCTGAAATCCTGTGAATTATTATTAGAAAAGGTATTTAGCACTAGTAAAATCAGTAATTGTGAAGCTGGCATCAAAATGAAAGTGCCTTTTGGGAACTAAAGTTTTACAGGTCCTTCTGTTGAATCCTTTGGTTTTTTGACAATGATTCTTTAAATTTGTGTAAAATATTTCAGTTTTACTCTCATGAACATGAACTTTTGTGCTATAACTTCAAAAAATTTTTCTTTGTAAAAGCACTGGCCAAATTGTTCGATTGTAGTTTGTTGTAACAGATGTGAATTCTGTTCCACAAGCTCAGGTGTGCAAGAAACAATGCATTACTTTATTTTTATAAAATCAAAATAAATTTTATTCTGAAGTCCCATTCCACCAAGTTAACAGAACTTCAGTTTCTGTCATCACTGAGGTCTCCCTAATTCATGAGAAACTTCAGGGAAATATTCAGGGAGGTCCCTCCTTTAGCCTTCAGCTTACACTCGTTGCTTCTGAGTTTCCCACTGTCCAAACCTACTGGGTGTTGAATTCTGTATCTCAGGTGATTTCTGGAGCTCAGGTTCAACCTCCCTAGGTGATCCACTCAGTCAGCAGCCCCCCCAACCCCTCCCCACAGGCTTCCCATCACGTTCCTGAAGGTGCTATGGTAAAGCAGACCACAGGTCTCTCCTATCCTCAGAATCCAGACCTTCATTTCCTCTCATCCCTTTACCCCACTATTCTACTTCTGCCCCCTCACAAGTCTCCCCAACTCCTCTGAGACACGGTAATGCCATGTAATAATTTACCCTGCCATAGTAGGTAAAGTATAAGCAAGACAGAACTGTGGTCCCGAATAGGTTCAGGATATTTTTCATTGACCACCTGTCTAAGGAAGATGAAAACTAAGGAGCTTCTTCATCTCATTAAAAAAAGGGGGGGGATATTTCATGGAATAACAATAACAAATATACATACTCTTCTAAGTGCTTTACAGGTATGAGCTCATTTTAACCTAACATCTTCCATATGAAGTACTATTTTACAAAGGAGGAAACTGAGGCATAGTGGTTAAATAACTTGCCCTGATCACATGGGTAATAAGTAGCAGAGGCAGCCTATGAACCCTGGCAGACTGGCTCATGCTCTTAACACACACTATACTGCCTCTCTGGCTACCACTGTCCTCTGACCTTGTGTAGTACATTGCAGTTTATAGAGGTTGGAGGGTGGGAATAGTCTGGGTGCTCAGACTCTCCTCAGCAAGCAGGGGCCAAGGCACGCTGACCACGCAGTTCAGAATTCTGAAATGTCTTCCTTGACTGTCTGTCTTGACTCAGGCAATGATCCATTCACCATCGTCAATGAAAACATGGGCAAGTGCATCAAGCCACTGAATGACTGGATAGTAGCAACAGACTGTGATGGAAGTAGGGACATGTTATGGAAGTGGGTGTCCCAGCATCGACTCTTTCATTTGCAATCCCAGAAGTGCCTTGGGTTAGATATTACCAAACCCACAGATTCCTTGAGAATGTTCAACTGTGACTCCAGTGCCTTACTCTGGTGGAAATGTGAGCACCACTCTCTGTATGGAGCTGCCCAGTACAGACTGGCTCTGAAGAATGGACATGCTGTAGCAAGTACAAATTCATCTGATGTCTGGAAGAAAGGAGGCACAGAGGAAAACCTCTGTGACCAGCCTTATCATGGTGAGTACTGGAGTGGGACTTTGAGTCATTTGCCGTTGTGTTTGGTAAATGTGACATTGAACATGCACAACTGACCACAAATAAAGTCATGCATTGGTAAGGACAGTGAGCTAGCATTCAATTCCAGGCACTGTGCATTATCATTGAGCTACCTATGTGAAATTGGCGCTACTTTTCCCCTTTTACAGGTAAGGCTAGAAGGGGTTGGGTGCCTTGTCAGAGGTCACACAGTCACTCTGTAGTAAACCAGGGATTTGGAATCTCTATGATACATGAGCATATGTATTTCCTATGATTACATTCTGAACTCCAGAGGAAAAGAAACATTAGAGTAACAGGAAATCCTTCATACAGGATGAAATTCAAGTGACCTAATAAAATCAAACCTATTCTAAGTTTAAAAAGAAGAAAAAAGAAAAAGAAAAAATAAAGGAAATATATTTCTCCTTGTCTACAGATTTTTATGTAATGGAAAAACTTTAAGACCTGTGTGAGTTTATTTTTATTTTTGGCATGGCTGTCACACTTTGATGTTTGTGTTTATGATTTTAAGAGTGGACTTTTTCCTCAATTGCTTTCAAAAATAAGTACAGTTGACCCTTCAACAATGTGAAGGTTAGGGGAACTGCACCCCATGCAGTTAAAAATTTGATTCACCCAAAACTTAACTACTAATAGCCTACTGTTAACTGGAAGCCTTACTGACAACGTAAACAGTTGGTTAACATGTATTTTGTGTGCTATATATATTACATACTGTAGTCTTACAATAAGGTAAGCTAGAGAAAAGAAAATGCTATTAAGAAAATCACAAGGAGGGGTGCCTGGGTGGCTCAGTTGGTTAAGTGTCCAACTCTCGGTTTCAGCTCAGGTCATGATCTCTTGGTAGTGAGACGGAGGCCTAGGTCAGGCTCTGCTTTGAGCATGGAAGTTGCTTAAGATTCTCTCTCTCCCTCTCCCTCAGTCCCTCTCCCACTCAAGTGTGCGCATGTGTGTGCTCTCTCCCTCTCTCTCTCAAAAAAAAATTATGAGGAATAGAAAATACATTTACAGTACTGTACTGTATTTATTGAAAAAACCCACATATAAGTGGACCCTTGCAGTTCAAACCCATGTTATTTGAGTGTCAACTATATATGAATATTGCCTATGAGGGAGCTGATCGTGAACTTTGCTCTGGGTCTAGAAACTAGATTATAACAAATTTCCAAGTTTAAAAAGAATGAGTCAGTTAGGGCACCTGGGTGGCTCAGTTGGTTAAGTGTCCAACTCTTGATCTCATCTCAGGTCTTGATCTCAGGGTCATGAGTTCAAGCCCCACATTGGGCTCCACGAGTTGGGCTCCATGCTGGGCAGGGAGCCTACTTAAAAAAAAAAAAAAAAAGAATGAGTAGGTGTAATTAGTTATCACCCAAGCAAATCTTTTTTATCATGTTGCTCTAAATTACATCAAATGTTGATATATAAATATATATTTAATCATCTCTAAGTCTTAACTATTATCTCACCTTTGCTCTTCTTTGTAAATTTACTTAGCTTTACAGAGATTTTTCTTTTCTCTCAAAGCTCATTTAAGCTAAATTTGGCCCCTTAGTCTTTTAGTTATCTGCACTAATTTCTCTCCTATAGTAACTATTTCTATTTCCTATTGAAGATGCATCCATTTCTAAGATGTGAGGTTCTACTCTTATGGGAAAATATTAGATTAGAGAATTAGAGATGGGGATTTCCTTTTCTTTAATCCTCAGTCCTTGAGTAGTTGAACAAGTGTTTTTGCTAGCCAGCTTCTTCCCATATATACAATGGAATATTACACAGCCATCAAAAAGAATGAAATCTTGCCATTTTCAATGACATGGATGGAACTAGAATGTATTATGCTAAACGAAATAAGTCAGTCAGAGAAAGATTACCATATGATTTCACTCATACGTGGAATTTAAGAAACAGAACAGATGAACATAGGGGAAGGGAAGGAAAAATAAGATAAAAACAGAGTGGGAGGCAAACCCTAAGAGATTCTTAACTATAGGGAAAAAACTGAGGGTTGCTGGAGGGAAGGTGGTTAGTGGGATGGGGTAAATGGGTGATGGTCATTAAAGAGGGTATTTGCTGTAATGAGCACTGGGTGTTAAAGGCAAGTGATGAAACTAAATTCTACCTCTGAAACTAATGATACACTATATGTTAACTAACTTGAATTTAAATAAAACCTAAAAAGAAAAAAAAAAGAAGCAATTGCTTTCTGGATATCACTTAATGGCAAGTTTAAATTTTGCCTTTTGAAAATCTTTCTCTAACTTGGCAGCTAAGAGATAACATGGAATGAAAGGAAAATGCCTTTTGAACTGGATTTGACTCGTTTCATTGTATTTGTTCAAAGATCAGAAAGGATAATTTTCTTGGCAGGGCTCTCTCTGTCTCCTGCCCCAAGTTCTTTTGAGGGATATAGTTGTAATTGTAAATTCCTTCGGTCCCCCAAATTTCAGTCTAACTGTTTTTCTTTGTAATCCTATGGTTTTTATTTTATGCATTTGTAATATTCTCCTGAGAAGGGGACCTGCTCATTTCACACAGCTGCCCAAATGATCAGTAGCACAAAAAAGTTTAAGAACCCACCTAGGGTACCACCCCAGAGAGAGCTTAAACAGTGCCTCCAGCAAGAGCCCACAGGCATAAAGTATTTCCTGACCTTACCAGATACAATATTTGGAACACTGAATTTTCAAATAAGAAATTTAGAGATTTCTGAGAAAAGGCTCACATAGCTCTGACTTATCGCCACATACCTCAAGTTTTAATTTGCACAGAAGCCAGGGTCAAACCTGCCTCCTCCATTCCTTTCCAGGTGATTGGTACCATCTAAGTCGTGTATGTCAGTCACTGTAGTGTCCTGCGCTCCTCTCTCACCATTTAAATTTAATCACATATTAAGTCTTGGAAGTTTTACTCTTTTAAATTTATGTAGTCCCTTCCTCTTCTCAGATTAAAGACTACTGTGTGAAGTTAAGGACTTTATCTGGGACTGCTATGTCAGACTCCCCATATTAGTTCCTGCCCCACCTTTTGTCTAGCTTTATAGAGATAAGAAAGGTAAGATACCTGAGTCCCAAAAGAGTGAAGTCCAAGGTTATCCAGCTTGTTAGAGCAAGGCTACCATTCAAAACCATGATTGAATTCCCCAAATATAGCTTTTTTTATTTCTCCCTTGGTTTTTGCTCTATAAATTTTTTTTATAAATTTTTTTACGTCTAATATAAGAAAAATTATTTGTCATTGTGTCCTGGGTTGCCTTTCTCTCCAACCCCCACCCTGTGTGAGTCATGTTCATCTGAGAGAAAACTTTAGTTGTATAAATGTTATGAATGAATTGCTTTTGACTAGCATCCAGATATGCATTTATATCAATCATTAAGATATCTTGAGCTCACTCGCACTCTTCAAATTTTGAATATTTGGCAAATCCAGAGGAAAATGACTGAACTGTCTACATTTTGAACAACTCTTAGGAGCCTGCCAACCTCTTTGACCACTAAAGCTATTTTGCCTCGGTGAAGAAATTAATGTTAGTTTTCCCTGTAAGTGATTCAACTCACAAATTTGTACCTATTGCAGAATATGCTGTTGTTTTAAGAGTGCTATCATCATAAATTCACACAGAAGATTCTTCTCAGGAAAAGCCTGTCTCCCTAGAGAAACACATGGGATTTAAGAGGTCCAGTAGCAGTGAAGAATGTGTGAGAATAAAACTCTTCCTGAAGGGCGCCTGGGTGGCTCAGTTGGTTAAGCAACTGCCTTCGGCTCAGGTCATGATCCTGGAGTCCCGGGATCGAGTCCCGCATCGGGCTCCCTGCTCAGCGGGGAGTCTGCTTCTCCCTCTGACCCTCTTCCCTCTCGTGCTCTCTATCTCTCATTCTCTCCCTCTCAAATAAATAAATAAAATCTTTAAAAAAAAAAAAACAAAAAACTCTTCCTGAATAGTTAGCATAATTTAGCTGCTACTGATGTCGTGGTTGTTATATGCTTATCATTCTTCAAAGTATGTTGTGAATAGGAGAGATTTTTAATTGAAACCCAGCTTTGAGCTATGAAACATAACTTGAAACCTGAGAAGGCAGCCATTAAAGTCACAAGGTGTCCTTAACATGTCAAGGACTCTAATGAGAGAGCCAGTTCTCATGCCTGTCACTTACAGTTTACTGACTGTCTTACTTAACCACACTGCAAAAATGGGGATTTCACAAAAAAGTGTAATACTTGCCCTATTAATCTCACAGGTTTACAGTAAAGACGAAGTAAAAGAAATGTATGTGAAAGCACTTCGTATAACAGAAACACAAGATTTTTTAGGAAGAAAGTGATGGTTCTTCAAGTAATAGTTGCTGGGCTCAGGGACTCCTTTTAATTGCTATAATATGGGAAGAGATGTGGTCATGAGCTTTTGGGAACTTTGGTATCATTAAAAATGAAACATAGGGGGACACCTGGGTGGCTCAGTTGGTTAAGCGGCTGCCTTCGGCTCAGGTCATGATCCCGGGGTCCTGGGATCGAATCCTTCGTTGGCCTCCCTGCTCAGCGGGAAGCCTGCTTCTCCCTCTGCCTGCTCTGCCTGCTGCTCCCCCTGCTTGTGCTCTCTCTCTCTCTCTGACAAATAAATAAGTAAATAATGAAACATAGGTAATAAGCAGATTCCCTATAAAATATAAGGTCAAATTACTCTTTAGCAGAAGTATCCTGTCCAAAATCATTTATGTCAGAGGAAAACAAAACCAATATTCTTTAAAAGATTGTTTGCAAATAAAAGCATCTAGATTATTCTTACTTTTTGCTGTACTGCTGCTTAATATATTCTAAAATGTTATACTTCAGTTAAATAAACATTTGAAAATGATAAAGAATGTGGAATCAAATACCATCTTAAGCACACTTTTTTTGTATTTTATTTTATTTTATTATTTTATTCTGTTAATAACCATACATTACATCATTAGTTTTTGATGTAGTGTTCCATGATTCATTGTTTGCATATAACACCCAGTGCTCCATTCAATACGTGCCCTCCTTAATGCCCATCACCGGGCTAACCCATCCCCCCACCCCCTCCCCTCTAGAACCCTCAGTTGGGTTGAGAGAAAGAGTCCATAGTCTCTCATGGTTCGTCTCCCCCTCCAATCTCCCCCCTTCATTTTTCCCTTCCTACTATCTTCTTTTTTTTTTTTTTAACATGTAATGTATTATTTGTTTCAGAGGTACAGGTCTGTGATTCAACAGTGTTACACAATTCACAGCGCTCACCATAGCACGTACCCTCCCCAGTGTCCATCACCCAGCCCCCCCATCCCTCCCACCCCCCACCACTCCAGCAACCCTCAGTTTGTTTCCTGAGATTAAGAATTCCTCATATCAGTGAGATCATATGCTATATGTCTTTCTCGATTGACTTATTTCTTAAGCACACTTTTAAGCATATCTGTGAGACATTTTAATGGACCCTAATAGCCTGATAAAGGGTGATGAGATCTGACTATTATGCTTTACCCAATAGCCATTATTTGATCTGATAATGACCTTGGTTTTAAACAAATTAAGGATATGGATAAAGGTAACCAAAATAATTACACAGTTAGCTGTTCAAATAAAACACCTTTCCAAGAGAACTGTTATCCGCAAAAATATTGAGCACTTCCTTTAGTATTTCTAAGCATACTTTGAGGTTTTCAGTTCCTCTCCACGTACCAGGGGAAATTATTTTAAAATGAAAAACTAGTTCTGCTACATCGCTGGCCACCAGCTAGTCCCATGACTGCCCAGCTAAAGCTGGTTCTTTTATAATGTGAATTACCTACCATGCCCTGCTCCTCTCCAAGAACCTTCTCAGAGATCCAGCTCTTCTTTCCCCCACTTCTTGAGACGCACAACCTCAATTCTACCACCAATCAGTGAACAATGGGGCTATGTGTCCATCTGTCTAACTACAGTTGGTTCCAAAGTCCATACCCACCCTCAGTGATTCCAGGGGATTTTTCTGGCCCCAGTCTTACTAAAGAAAATGAAATAGAATGTAAATTTAGTCTCATGCAGGGCACTCCTTCTGGTGAAGTTCTCTGCCACCCATGGTAATCAGTTGATCCCTGCTGAATCAAGCCAGGATCGTTTAGCTCTTCATCACACCACAATAAATGAAGCTTTACATGGATTATCTCATTGAATCCTCTTGAACAAACCTATAAGCTAGATACGATTATTCCTAATTAACAAATATAGAAACTGAGGCTAATAAAAGTTGGAGAGCTTGCCCACAGCCCCACAGTTGAGCCAGCATTCAAGTTCAGAGCTGAATGCTGCATCCATGCTCTGAATTTTCACACTGTGTGGCCTACTTAGATACTGTATTCTCTTAAGTGAAAACAGCAATCTTTCTCTCACAGAAAATTTAGGAATCAGTTAACTGAAGGTGATTGTCCAGTTTTTAACTTTCCTTTCCTCTACTTCCTCCCCATACCGCAGAGATATATACCAGAGATGGGAACTCCTATGGAAGACCTTGTGAATTTCCATTCTTAGTTAATGGGACCTGGCATCATGAGTGCATTTTTGATAAAAATTATGGTGGGCCATGGTGTGCAACCACCTTAAATTATGAATATGATCAAAAGTGGGGCATCTGTTTAAAACCAGGTATGTATGGGCTAGCAGGCTTTATATATGAAAAGAAAATGGATACCATTTATGTGAGACCAAAGGAAGAAGGAAGAGTCTGAGATAACTCAAAAATGACTGCAACAAATATTATCCTAGAGAAGATATGTATTTGAGGAGAGAAAAGGAAGTAATGTGTAGCTATGAACTTGCTTTCAGAAGTAGGCCAAGGAAAGAACCAAGAGAAGATGGTGCCATGGAAGACAAAGGAGGAGGGAATGTTCTATAGCACAGATGCCTCAGGAAGAGGAAGTGGAAAAGGCATGAGCAGTTAGGAAATTGCTGCTGACCTTTGCTACAGCAGTTTCAAAAGACCAGTGGTCATAGAAGCCAGGTTATCGTGGGCTGAAGTGTGAACAAGAAGTAGAGAGAGCCTCTTAAGTTTTATGGAATAGAAAAAGAGCGAGGATGGTGGTTTTGGGGGGTAGATAGGTTGAAGAAAAACTGTTCGGGTGGTAGAGACTTAAGTATATTTATGGCCTAAAGCAAAGAGGGACCAAAGAGACCTATATCCCTGGTCCTTTCAAAATTAGTGACACTGTTCTCCTGCCATTTCTTTATGTTGGGCAGAGCATTTTTTCTAATTGCTTCTTACTAGAAGCAAACTACTCAGGGTGTGCTAAAGAATTCACTGTTCTTTAGAAAGAGAGAGAGACCAACGTAGCAGTTGCATCATGATCTGGTATATAACAGACATATTTTCTTACCAGTCAGGTGGGAGTTACAGGTCATAGTACCTGATATGTGATAAGTGCTCCAGATTAATTGGGCAATAGTTTGGAAGAGTGTCTAATAAAGAGAAAGGGAAAAGCTCCAGACCTGGGTAATAATAGTTAATACTTATAGGGCCCTGCCGAGCGTCAGGTACTATTCTAACCACTCAAACTATATTAACCCATTCAGTCTTCACACAACCCTCTAAGGTAGGTACCACTAATTATCCCCATTATACAGATGAGCAAAGTGAGGTGCAGGGGAGTTATATCATTTGCCTAAGGTCACATAGCTAATACATTTTAGAGCTAGGATTCAAATTTAGGAAATCCAGTTCTGAAGTCCTTGACCCAAACAAATACACTATAATGCCTCATTCAGTAGCCAATCTGATGGTATTACTAATGCTGATCCCTCCTTAAAGGAAGCTGTGCTTCAAAATGAAGAGTTCTAAGCAACTAGAAGAGGTTATACCGAGCCAATGGTTCTGCAGCAGAATCACTTGGAAAGTATGTTAGAACAAAGATTTCTAGGGGCCCACCTCCAAAAATTATAATTTGGTAGATTTGGAGTGAGGCCCAAGAATTTGCAGTTCAGTGAGTTCCCAGGTGATGCTGATGATGCTTGTCTGGGGACCACACTTTGAGAATTACTGTTCTAAGTAGAAGCACAGGCTTTTCAACACCCAGAACCTACCGAAAGTTAAAAGCCAATATTTGCTTCAGCTACAGTTGATATCCGGCAGAGTTTGGTCAACTAGTCATTGATTTCATTTAAACCTCACTATAGTCTGGATCCAAAATTTTAGATGTGAAAGGGAGCTTAGAGGTTTTCCAGTTGCAAACCCTCATTTCTCAGGTGAGGGGCAGCAGATGCAAATTGATGACACAGCCTGTCAGGGTCAGAACACATTTGTATGGAGTCTGGTGGAGATTCCAGAATTCCTGACCCTCATTCCCCAGTGTACTTTTTCCACTCTACCTTGCTTCCTTGACTGTCATTAGTCTCAGTATCTTTAGCTTCCTTTGGGTGGTGGGGGTGAGAATGGGAGTATTCATATACCTCTCAGAGTTATTTTTAGGGAAGAAGCAAGACTGTGAGTTTCTCAAAACCAAGGATGGCTAAACCATGTACATTATATTTTATAGCAAACATACTGCCATCCCACTGGAAGCTTCTGGATTTACAGGCATAAGGCCCCAGGGTTAATAAGGAAACTTTAGGCGATGTACTTGCAAATCCACGTATTTTGTTTTCATCAAATGTCACATCCACCTCAGTTGCTATTTAGGCCATTCAAAAGTGGCTGAAGAAGCAGTGTATGCTGTTCAGAAGATCAAGACCAGATTTAGAGACCAGAGCTCTGATTATAGCTCTGCCACAGACACTTCTAGACCTTTGTTTCCATCTGTGAAATGAAAGCATTAGACAAGATGATCTCAATGGGCCTTTCCAGCTTGAAAGGCCATGAGTCTAACATGGGATGGGTGACGGGTTATGGTCGGCCCTTTGGAAAACTCCCTGAGTGGAACCTGGGACACACTTGGCACAGTCTATATTGGGTTTCCTCTTCTAGAGAGGACATGGGAGTCTCTAAGTATATTTTCAAACCAGTTGTGTCAAGACCTATATAGCTCATCTAAGAAATAATTTGAAGGGTCTTTGTCTGAAGTTATACTTGCTTTTTAGATTTTTGTTAAAGAAAATATATGCACATTATACAATGAACATGTATGTCTGTATACATATGCACACGTATGTCTACATAGACATCTGCAATATTGGTTATATAATATGTGTCATATATTAAATCATCTGTTAAAACATTAAGAATAAATTTAGATAGAGTTTTTCAAATAAGGTAGTCACTTGGGTTCTAACTCTTGGTGTTGAAGCAGCATGTCTGCACATACACACACACACACACACAGTGGTTTCACTGCAGGCTGTAGGCAAACTCCTCTGCAGTCCGCCACCATCTTCAAGTGAGCTTGTTTTCCATCAGCTCAGGAGTTTGACAATGTGAACACATTTGAAGACTCCTACATTTCAGCAAAGGGCAGGCATGGGCTAAAATATGGCATTATAATTGATAAGGGATAAAGGGAGAGTAGAAAATAGGAGAGTTGAAGCTTTAATCAGCCAAAGTCATTTAGTTCCCATGACTTCAATCTCTTTATGTAACCAAAGAATCAAAATATAGTCTAGTCGAACAATAAGCTTCAATTTTAGTGTATCCTAAGAGTATGGAAAATGAATTGCAATATTGGTAAGCATTGTTAGTAATATAAAACATTATGCCCTTACTTTATGATCACTAATATATCTTTTTATCAACAGAAAATGGCTGTGAAGATAATTGGGAAAAGAATGAGCAGATTGGAAGTTGCTACCAATTTATTACTCAGGCAGCTCTTTCTTGGAAGGAAGCTTATGTTTCGTGTCAGAATCAAGGAGCTGACTTACTGAGCATCAGCAATGCTGCTGAATTAACTTATCTTAAAGGTAAGTTTGCATGTAGTAGAGCAAATTGCTGGGATTGTAAAGATGCCATCTGTCTACCTCTATTTTCATATCCAGGTATGTGTTTTGTATATATATTTTTCTATCTTTTCTTAAATGTCAACACTGAAGCCCACAGGCAGAAAGGTATGAATATAATCCTATTCTATCCATTGAAAATGCATTTCATGTTTGAGACTGAAAAGAGGGTAATGTTCAGAAAATGGAGTGAGGTAGTGAGATTAAACTGCTACCCTAAGCCTAACTGACAAGATTTCTTAAAAGGTGAACATTAAACTCTTTGAACATTGAAAAGTAGAGAAATTAAGGAAGGTGACGAAGATGGCTGAGTCATACCAGAGGCCTCAGGGAAAGGTCCTTGTGTTGAGTAGAGGAGTGCCATCCTCAGAGGCGAGGAGAGGACTAAGAAAATCTTAAAGTGGATTTAATCAATGGACACATTGAGTGGATGGGATTTTGTTTTATTTTGTTTGTGTGGTGATGGTGGGAATTCTTAAATTTTTAATTATGAAAACATATATACAGAAATAGAAAATAACCTGAAAGAAACCTGTGTAACCACCACCCTGACTTTACACACTCTTTATACACTTAACATTTTGTCATATTGCTTTGCATTGATTGATTCCCTGCTTACCTCCCTTTAAAGAAATATAATGATTTTGTTTTTGTTTTAAGATTTTATTTATTTATTTGACAGAGAGAGACAGCGAGAGAGGGAACACAAGCAGGGGGAGTGGAAGAGGGAGAAGCAGGCTTCCCGCGGAGCAGGGAGCCTGATGCGGGGCTCGATCCCAGGACTCTGGGATCATGACCCGAGCCAAAGGCAGATGCTTAACCCACTGAGCCTTCCAGTCGCCCCAAAATAAAATATTAACAGAGTTAAAGCTCCATGTCCATCTCTCAAAATAACCATTCTTTGAGTACTTTTACAACATATATGTGTCTAAATACTATATATGTTTTCATTATACTATTGTTCTGTTTTTAAATGATACAAATGCTTATTTGCCCATATGTAAGTTTACCATTGTCATCTGCTGCTGTAAAGTATTGCATTTTTGAATAAACCACAACTTATCCATTCTCCTATTGAGAAACAGGTTATTTTCAGCTTTTCCTATTGCAAGGAACATCCCCATATGTGCCTCATGGGGCAGACATGTATGAGAGTTTCTCTAGAGTAGGAATTGCTGAGTCATGGGGTGCACATCTCTTCACCTCTAACCAAAAATTCTGAATTGCTTTCCAAAGGGGCTGCATTCATTTACACCTCCATTAGCACCTGGCGTTATCAGACTTAGTTGGCCAAAGTGATGAATGTGAAATGGTATTTCATTTTTCTTTTATATTTTACTGATAATTCATGTGGTTTTGTGTCTCGTGTTTATTAGGCATTCAGGTTTTCAGCTTATAATCTGCCGGTTGATATCCCTTGCCTATTTTCTGTTGAGTTTGGCTTTTTCTTATTGATCTGTTATAGTTCTTTACATATACTTATCTTTTCTTGTAGTATTACAAATATATTTTCCTAGTCTTTGGTCTTTTTACATTTGTTGCTTCTTATCATTTACAAATATGTTAGTTTTAATTTGGTCAATCTTTTCCTTAATGTTTTGTGCTTATTTATATTACTTAGCAAATTCTTTCTTAGCCCTAATATGATAAACATATCCTCTCATTTTTCTTCCAAAAGTTTATAATTTTGCTTTTCATATTTATATCCATAATCCATCTGGAATAAAATTTCTAGAAGTGGGAATCTAATTTATCTTTCTCTGCATGGATGTCAGTTGACCAAGTACTATTTATTTCACATTTTTCCCTCAGATTTATTATGCCACCTCTAATAAATATAAACTCCCCTATTACATGTGGGTTATTTCTAGGCTCTCCATCCTATTCCTTTGGTCTGCTTGTCTGTGTGTCTATTCCACACTGCAGCTGCATAGTATATATGGATGAGCAAGTCCTCTCATATTTTTTCTTGAATTGCATTGGCTTTTTTTTTTAATCACTTAATCTTTTCTATGAATTTAAGGATCACCTTATTAATCTCAATGAAAAACTTTATTGGGACTTTGGAATTGCATTGGATTATAGATTAATTAAAGAGGTACTGCTGTCACTACATTATTAAGTCTTCTCATCCATGAAAATGGTATGCCTTTCTACTTATTTGTGACATCTTTTATGAATTCAGTAAAATTGTATATCTTTTTTGGGGGGATTCTTTTTTTTTTT